TCAGGAGAGGACATTATGGTGACCTTAGAAATTTTTTTAGTGAGTATAATTGGACAGACTTGATGCTAGGCAAGGAAGTGAATGAGATGTATGGCAAGTTTTGTGAAATATATGAAAAAGGCACAAAAAATTTATACCAAAACAGAGATGCAGAACTAGGAAACAGGATTGGTTCAATAGAAATTGCGAGAGGGCTAGAGACCGAAAGACACAAAAATGGAATCAATACAGGAAGAGGCCGAACCCCCAAACATACCAGCGATACAAAGATGCGAGAAACAACTACACGGCAGTGAGGAGAGAGGCAGAAAGAAATTTTGAAAAAGGGATTGCGGACAAATGTAAAACAGAACCAGGTCTATTCTATAAATTCATAAACAACAAATTGCAGGTAAAGGATAATATTCAGAGGTTGAAAATGGGAAATAGATTCACGGAAGATGAAAAGGAAATGTGTGAAACACTAAACGAAAAGTTCCAAAGTGTGTTTGTACAAAATGAAATCTTTAGGGAACCAGATACAATAAGAATTCCAGAGAACAACATAGAACACATAGAGGTGTCTAGAGACGAAGTGGAAAAAATGCTCAAGGAGCTCGGTAAGAACAAAGCAGCTGGCCCAGATGGCGTTTCACCATGGGTTCTGAGAGAATGTGCATCTGAGCTCAGCATTCCACTTCACCTGATCTTTCAGGCATCCCTGTGTACAGGAATCGTAGCAGACGGGTGGAAACAGGCTAACATAGTTCCAATCTACAAAAGTGGCAGCAGGGAAGACCCCCTCAATTATAGACCTGTATCATTGACAAGTGTAATAGTGAAAGTATTGGAAAAACTAATCAAAACTAAATGGGTAGAACACCTAGAGAGAAATGATATAATATCAGACAGACAGTATGGTTTTCGATCTGGAAGATCCTGTGTATCGAATTTACTCAGTTTCCATGATCGAGCCACAGAGATATTACAGGAAAGAGATGGTTGGGTTGACTGCATCTATCTGGACCTAAAAAAGGCTTTCGACAGAGTTCCACATAAGAGGTTGTTCTGGAAACTGGAAAATATTGGAGGGGTGACAGGTAAGCTTCTATCATGGATGAAAAATTTTCTGACTGATAGAAAAATGAGGGCAGTAATCAGAGGCAATGTATCAGAATGGAGAAATGTCACAAGTGGAGTACCACAGGGTTCAGTTCTTGCACCAGTGATGTTTATTGTGTACATAAATGATCTACCAGTTGGTATACAGAATTATATGAACATGTTTGCTGATGATGCTAAGATAATAGGAAGGATAAGAAATTTAGATGACTGTCATGCCCTTCAAGAAGACCTGGACAAAATAAGTATATGGAGCACCACTTGGCAAATGGAATTTAATGTTAATAAATGTCATGTTATGGAATGTGGAATAGGAGAACATAGACCCCACACAACCTATATATTATGTGAGAAATCTTTAAAGAATTCTGATAAAGAAAGAGATCTAGGAGTGGTTCTAGATAGAAAACTATCACCTGAGGACCACATAAAGAATATTGTGCAAGGAGCCTATGCTATGCTTTCTAACTTCAGAATTGCATTTAAATACATGGATGGCGATATACTAAAGAAATTGTTCATGACTTTTGTTAGGCCAAAGCTAGAATATGCAGCTGTTGTGTGGTGCCCATATCTTAAGAAGCACATCAACAAACTGGAAAAGGTGCAAAGACATGCTACTAAGTGGCTCCCAGAACTGAAGGGCAAGAGCTACGAGGAGAGGTTAGAAGCATTAAATATGCCAAAACTAGAAGACAGAAGAAAAAGAGGTGATATGATCACTACATACAAAATAGTTACAGGAATTGATAAAATCGACAGGGAAGACTTCCTGAGACCTGGAATTTCAAGAACAAGAGGTCATAGATTTAAACTAGCTAAACACAGATGCCGAAGAAATATAAGAAAATTCACCTTCGCAAATAGAGTGGTAGACGGTTGGAACAAGTTAAGTGAGAAGGTGGTGGAGGCCAAGACCGTCAGTAGTTTCAAAGCGTTATATGACAAAGAGTGCTGGGAAGACGGGACACCACGAGCGTAGCTCTCATCCTGTAACTACACTTAGGTAATTACACTTAGGTAATTACTACACTCCCCGAGAATCCATGTTCGTCGTTACCGGGAATGTCTACATCACTAGCCGAGTACAGAATCATGTGTAACACGTATCCTGTCTCACAATCACAAAGAACAAAAAATTTCAGGCCAAATCGGTTTCGTTTTGAGGGAATGTACTGTTTGAATGGAACACGTCCCTTGAAAAGTATGAGAGATTCATCAACCACCAGCTTCTGTGCTGGTACGTAAAAATCTCTGAATTTTCCAATAACATCGTTCATGTAGTGCCTCACTCGCCACAGTCTATCATCAGGTGTTCGGTCCTGAACACTTCCAAAATGTAGACACCTGAGGAGTATCTGAAACCTGTCTCGTGACATATATTTCCCGAATAAAGGTGTTGGTATTGTCTTGTCCTTGCTCCAATAGTCATTTATTGCATGTTTGTGACAGTGCTTCATCAACAAACAGAGTGCCAAAAACACATACATTTCCGCCACTGTGGTATTTTTCCAACGCTGCAGTCGTGAAAATTCTGTGATTTCCCTCTCAATCAGGTAAGCAGCATGCAGGTTCGTTTGGTGTACAATGTATTCCATGAGTGGTTCATCATAGAATGCTGTAAAATATTCCATCTCAGCCATGTCCTCACCTTGATTAGGGAAAAGGTTTGTAATCCCTACATCATTATCGTCAAAGTGAGGAATATTAGGAATAAAATCGTCATCATCACTCCACTCAAGTACACCAGGCGTCCTGCGAGATGCAGAGGAAAGACGGCGAGGAAGCGATGCATACCGGCGACCAGGAGCTGAATACCGTCTGCGAGAAGCACGGCGGCTACGTGCACGTGAGGTGGGTGCACGTGAGGTGGATGCACGTGAACACGAGGGTCTTGGTCCCTCATGTGGTGCCATGCGGTGGCACTTGGCCGGGCGAGATGCTGCTGACGCGACAATTTCTCGCCCAGTTACACCACTGGTACCAGCCACAGGCTCAATAAAACTTTGATCTGAGTCACTAAACCCAGAAAAGGAGTCACCTCCCTCTGACTCGTCACCCTCAAACAGAAAATATCCACAGGAACTGTGAGGTCGTGGTAGAATTGGGGTAGAAACTGGGCGAGGAGGCATCGGTGAGCGTATAGGCCTCGCCATGGCATGGCGGTCATTCTCACTTTCACTGCTGCTGCTACTATCACCCGACAACTGTGTATAATCCTCATCATTGTCTGAATCGTCAAACACACTTTCTTCACCTTCAGAGAATAATTCGTGGGCTATTTGCTCTGGGGTGAGGGACTGAGTGGTGCGTGCCCGTGAGGCGTTTGACCGTGCGCTCGCCATGGTGACTCTCGCTAAACTGAGGCCTCCCATGCCTTCGGATCGTGAGCGGGAATTTTTTTCAAAATGGCCCCTGTTTACTAGAGCCCCTGGGCAGCGTATGGGACCCCCAGCTACACCGCGGGCCATTCAAATCGTGCGCGGTACCCATACACTTCATATGAAGTGAAGCGCAGTTGACTGGTAAAACGATTTACACTTCATATGAAGTGATGCGCACTTTAAGGGTTAAGGAGGTAGAGAGCGGTGTCCCGAGAAGTGTCGTGTGCGTTGAATATGGCATTAGTAAAAGTACTGTTTTTGATCTTCTTAAGGCTAAACCTATCATTTTTTACTATTTCTCTAGAAGTGAAAGTGATAAGGCAATATAAAATAGAAAGGTAGTAAGTAAAGCAAAGGTGGAGAGTGTTGATAACGCAGTGTGGGAGTGGTACAAACAGACGTGAGGTGATGAAGAAACCAGTGGCAGGCTGGCTGCTCGTGGAAAAGGCGTGTGAATTTCACCAAGCAATGAAAATTACTCAAAAGTGACAGCGAGTATGAAACTAAGAACATGATAAGTCAGTAAAATTTGTACATGAAGTTTTAAAAACAAGAGCCTTGTTTTTAAAGGCTCAAGAGCCAATTGAAGTCCTGATCCACATAAGCGGATCAGGACTTCAATTATTGGTGAGCAGAAAGAAAATACGGTCGCATTTACGCTATGAACCTGTCGATTTTTCCCCTAGAGTTTTTTCATAAATTTTTCAATTTTTTTCTCCATTTCTCATATACGACCTTACATGTTAACTAACGGGTCTCGTCCCAAAGGTGTTCGGAAGCCAAGTGGTGCTCTGTACCTTGTTTTTTTTTGGGGGGAGGGGGGGGGGGAGTTCTTGGGCTCTGTTCAGTCTTGGGTTGCAATTTTCTACCAGTTGGGATCTGTTTTGGGGCCCCTACCTTTCTAGGTGCCTAATCCTGGTCGATGGAAGATATGAATATATTCTCAAAGAGTGGAGTTTTCATTGGCCATTGCTCGAAGTGCCTCTCTGAGGGAGCCTGGTTCTGGCTTGTGGTTCCCTGTAGGCAGAATTCCATGTGACTGAAGTCCCAGACTAACATAGTTAATATTAGTCCGATAGCTCCAGGAAACCGACGGGGCACAACACAGAAAGATAAATTTTGTTTTTTGTTAAAGAGAATACTGTTGTTGATAGAACAATCTCCAGGAAAGAGCATTGTGTACCAAACAACTAACAAGTTATAAATAGTTTTATACTAAAATATACAATATAGAAAGAATGGTACACTTGTACCATGAGCTCTCCTCCTGTAACTACACTTATTTCTTTCAACTGGAAATAATTATTTCCAACAGAAAATGAGAGGAATTATGACTGCTAGCCCTTTCTTGAACATTGTCAGTTGCAAGGTGTTGAAGTGATGGGTTGGTATTTGTGTGTGGAACCCTCTGCAAAGGTTAAAAGTGAATGCTACCTTCACAAAGATTCCAATTTAAAATGTATTTGTTAGTAGTAAGGTATAGTTAATTATTAAAAGAAAGTGACTAAAACAAACCCTTGATTAAGATGTCTACGCTGGTAAGCCTCCAATTCATCTATGAGCTGTGTGTTTCGAGTTTGAAGGTGACGTAATTCATCTCGTAGTTTCTCTCTGTCAGTTGCCAAAGCCTCTCTAGCTTCACGTTCTGCTCTAAAGTCACCTTGGTAGACTTCCACCTATAAATAATGTCAGGCAAAATAATTATCTTGGATGTCTGTGATAAAACACTCTTTATAATACAGTATAATGTTATGAGAAAATAAACAGGTAAATAACAATTGTAATTTACTTATTTGATAATATTCATAATTGTAACCACTACCATGTTAATAATACACACAATACTGCACAGTATAAATTAATCTATTTATGTCCTAATTATGCAGATTCCTGCTTTATCCAGAAAAATATAATTCAGAAGTGTTCATCATATTTCCAGTCTGTATTCAGATACAGCATACAGAAGAGTGGTGGCAACCTACATTTTGATATAAAAACCCAGCACTAAATGTAATGAAATGCCAGTTTCTGAGTGAGCCCCAGAGGCTTCCTGAAGTTATCATCACTGAGTAAGTGCCATACTACCTAGTGTCATAAGTTGCAGAGCTCTTTTTGCCTACCATGGACCACGAGCCAGAACCTGGCCCCCTCAGAGAGGCACAGGGAGTGATGGTCTATGATCATTTAACATTGAAAGGATATCATCTTTGCCATTACCAGGGAGGTAATAGGAAGCATTCAGGACAATAGGCAAAATCAAAACAAATCACTGCCTGGTTTAAAAACACGACCAAAGCCCCCAAATGCCAAAAGAACTATCTCAATAATAAAAGAAACAACCAAAACTTAGTGAAACTAGCCCCCTTGCTAGTCACCTCCACCTCCCCCTTCTTTGGGGATGGGGGAGTGGGGAGCTGGCCCAGGAAGCCTGAGTTGATCAACTTCAGTTCTTTACTGAGAAACACACCGCCGACTGGGGGGAGGAGGGTGTCAAGGAATCTCCAGTGCTCACCCAGAAAATGGTATTTCATTACATTCAATGTAGGTTTTCTGTGGGAAGCCCTGTCGGCTCCCTGAAGCTAACTTCCCACAGAGAAGGACAAATATTGAAAACTTGCCAGGGAGGCAAGAGTACCACAGGTTTCAACTCGAAGTCAAGACTGAAGACCGTGACAGATGCCCCAATGCAACACAATGCTGCAGAGGACCAAGAAAGTTCACAAGATACCTGGCAGCCAAGACCCTGTCAGACCTCCAAAACCCCCCATGCCCAAACATCAGGCAGTATATACTCGATTTAATGGCCTATATAGGTTTGAAACCAAGGTCGGTAAATCCAGAGATTTTAACAAACCAGCGTTGAATGTAATGAAAAGCCATTTTCTGGGCGAGTCCTGGAGGCTCACTGGAGGCTCCCCGGAGGCATCCAGGCTGATTAGGATATCCCTAACTTTGGCATCAGTTGATGTGGGTGGAGTTCAAGGCCGACTGGGTACCACGAGCCAGAATCTGGCCCCCCTCAGAGAGGCACGAGGAGCAATGGCCTAAAGAAATGTACATGAGAGTTAGGAGCATTCCATATCTGCCATTGACTGGGACAGACACCCAAATAGGTAACTGCCCCCAAAACAAACCCCTATTCTGGTTAAAAATGACGAAATTAGACAAATGAGTGGACAGAACTCCCCAATTGAAAAGGAGCAAACAAGCATGATGTCACACGAGCCGTGCAGCATGTCTGCGCAGCTCTCTCCCCCTCCCTGGGAGGGGGAAGGGGTGCCCCCAGACCCCCGCACTGGGGATCCACCCTGCAGTTCTGAGGCTGGATATCAAAATATGTGAAAACCACCGACTGGAGGGAGGGAGGGAGGGAGGGTTGCCGGGAAGCCTCCGGGACTCACCCAGAAAATGGGGTTTCATTACATTCAACGCTGGTTACATTCTGGAGAGAGCCCCTACAACTACCTGGAGCTACTCCACCAAAGACTAAAAATAAAGTAGGGGACGTACCCGGGAGGTCGTCGGTGCTCTACATCTCAACGCGGAGTCGAGAAAGGCTGCAGCAGCCGACCCAAAGCGACACAGGCCCGACTAGGCCCAGGAACGTTAACGAGGTGGTGTGCAGCCAGGACCATGTTCGACCGCCAAAAACCCCAATGCCTGAATGTCAACCCAGGACAAGTTACCAAAGACGGCAGCAAGAGCAGCAAACTTACGAACGTGAATGGCATGGGGTCAGACCGAAGGCTGGCTAGACTTAATAACCCTGTGGACGACCTGAGAGACCCGTACCCACGAACAGGGAAGAAGGGAAACCGGATCAACCAAAAGAGCATCCCCGGACACAGAAACTGTGGTGTGCAAATAATGGTGAAGGACCGCAACCGGACAAAACACATGATGTGCGCCCACGGCCTGACCAACCAAGCATCAACAACCCAAGGACCCCTCCGGAAAGCAGCAGTATCATTCTTCGCCAGAAAAGAAGGAGACGGCTGCAAACGAACAAACCTATCTCCACGACCGAAAGAGAAGAAACCCCTGCGCTGGAGGAGAGCATGAAGCTCCCAGACCCACCAAGACAAAGCCCGAAGGTGGGACACCATCAATGAAGCCACCTGATCACAATACACATGATGATGAACTCGAGTCAAAAATACCTAATGCGAAGACTCGAGGAGAAGAGTGAACCAGTCTCGTAACAAACTGGGCCGATCTTCTGAAGAGGCGGAGCCGCGGAAAAATCTCCAGGTTCGGACACCGGGCAAGCAGCGCCTGAAACCACGGCTGGGCTGGCAACCACGGGGCCAAGAGGACTACCCGCCCTTGGTAAGTCTCCAATTGAGCCAGGATTTGGAGCAACAGCTGAACTGGGGTGAATAGGTATAGGAACCCCCACCTCGACCAATCCTGCCGAAAGGTGTCGATCCCGATGGCTTTGTGGTTGGGGAAGGGCTCCACATATACCGGAAGACACCTCAATCATGCCGACACAAAGAAGTACACCTCCTGGCGCCTGAACGTCTGGCAGAGCTAACTGAATGAGTCGGCATCGACCATCCATTCCGTGGACGGGGAAACAAACCGGGACAGGCCATCCGACTAGACGTTGGACACGCCCCGGACGTGAACTGCCAGGAGAGCCAAACCCCGAGAACTCAGCAGATGAGTCACCCAAAGCGACCAGCTAAGGACCGCACCAAACCTCCCCCCCCCCCTCAGTTTAGGCAATGAACCACCAGGGAGCAGTCTGAATGGAGCCGGATCGTCGAACTGCGGGTGACCCGAACCCTCTGAAGCACAAACCACAACTCTGCAAACTCCCGCACTGATCTGTGGGGCCCGACAGAAGGACGGACCCCACTGTCCCTGGCCGGCCAGGTGAGCACTGGTCACAAAGCCCCAGCCAAGAGATGACGCGTCCGTGAACACATCGAGCGAGGGCTCGGGTAGGCACCAAGGCACTGAACCCCGAAAAACCCGAAGAGGAAGCCGCCGACGCAGCAGTTGACGCAAGGACCCTGGGTTTCGAACCCTGTGATCGCGAGTGAGGAGGAAGGGACGTCCCCGAAGGAACCAGAGCAGGCGACAAAGCCAAACCCGACCCAGCGGTATACCTTTACCGCAAAGTTCAGGCTCCTGCACAGACCCTTGAGCAACCGCTGGGTGATCTGGAAGCCCCCCCAGAAACAAGTGCATGCAGGACCACAGCCGAAGAAGAGATGCCGGAGGAAGAGACGCCGGAGGAAGAGACGCCGGAGGAAGAGACAAAGAAGCGGTCCGAGAGTCTCACACAAGACCCAGCCAGGCCCGTACTTGGAAGGGAACCAGATGGGACTACCGCCAGTTCACCAGGAACCTGAACCTGGTGAGCTAGGAAAGCACGAAACCCCTGGTGACCAGACACGTGGACCAACTGGAAGCCCAAACCAGCCAGTCATTGAGGTAAGCCAATACCTGAACATCTAACAGACGCAAATGTGCCACCACGACCCGGGTAAGGCGTGTGAACACATGAGGTGCCAGGTTCAATCCGAAAGGGAGACAATGAAAGCAGAAACTCTGACGCCCCAAAACAAAGCCGAGCCCAGTCCCTGAACCCCGGATGAATCGGGACGTGCTAATACGTGTCCTTGAGGTCCAGGAACACCATCCAAGTGCCTGGCTCCAACAAAAGCCAGACCTGGGACAGAGTGGTCATGCAAAGGAAGGGTAAAAAAAAACCAGGAGTTCAGCCAGGATAAGTCCAGATTGGACGGCAGGTCCACACAGTCCCGTTTCGGAACTGGAAACAGGCAGGAAACCCACTTGAGGGACGTGGTCATTTCGACCACGCCCAAGTGCATCCACTCCAAAATGACCTGACAGAGTGCAGAAGAGTCCTGCCCTGCCAGCAACGAACCCCCCAAAGGAGGAGGAGCCACCCAACGCCACCGAAGACTGCGAAAAACAACCTGAAAAGCCCACGAATCGCGGGACCAGGCGTGAGCGAACAGAGCAAACCTCCCTCCATTGCCCCGTCACTGGTTTGATCCACGAAAGGGCCGATACACCGTATGAGAACCCGACCTGCGCACAGAGCGAGCACTGCACCAACCAGGCGCAGCCGGGACCGAAGGCAACACTGGCTCTGAAATTGGCACCTGTGGCCCCCAACTGTGGCACACGTTCCACGGCCTGTGGAACCACAGGCCGTGGTACAACCCCTCCGGGAGGAACCCACCTGGGACCCCCGGAGAACCAACAAATCAGACATTGGGCGGCAGCTGGAGGACGCCGCTTGCATATATTGTTCGACTGCAGAAGCCGCAAATAACAAAGGACAAAAGGGTGAAGACAATCTAAGAGCCAGGGCCCAAGCGGATTCGAAGGAGAAAGCGAGCACCATCTGCTTACATGTGAGGCGTGCAGCGAAAAATTACAACAGCACATCCTGCAGGATCAGCGCAAACAGCTTCAAAAATGCAGACGATGCACGAGCAGCCAAGGTGCTAGACCCAGGAACGGCCCAAAGTGCCTCTACATCCTCTGTAAGCCAAGCAGAAGACAGCTCGAGGAAAAAGAAAAGCAGGACCAAATCCAATGAGCCCTGCACCACAAGTCCTCAGCCACAAGCGCAGCCGACAGGGAGGGAACCTGCACATGAAGCTGAACCACGCCAATATCCCACAGAAGA